TTTCATGATTTGAAATTATTAAAATTCTATGATTTGGTTGATTATAATATTTTACTATTAATGTACAGAGCTCATAAAGGTGTGTTACCTTCCAACATTCAGGTAAATTTTATTTAAAGAGAGAGCTGTTTTTATCTTAAAGGATTGAAAAGTTTGTGAAACCCTGGGTTCATACGAGCCTGAAGGAGCGATCCACTTTAATCCAGGGAATAAGATTATGGAACAGCATAGAAGATGAGGTTAAAAATGACAGATCRTTGTATATARTGAAGAGAATYATAAAAWCTAGGATTCTGAAGAAATATGGAGAATTATAAGTGAATTCATGCTAATTGTTTTTTGAATGGATGCCCTTTTTATTTTTAATTCATTTTTAAGTGTTTTAAGTTGTTTTGATATTTGTTGTATTTCTACTTTTATTTTGAACATATTTTGGTTATAAAAAAGGGCAGATATGATAAGATTTGTTCTTCTGCTGCCTTTTATTTTTGATTGCATGTTTTTCTGTACTTTGTTAATCTGTGTTACAAATGAAATGAYTAAAGAACCACTACTACTACTACTAATAAATTTATTTTTATCACAATGAATTATTCTTCAGTTTCACAATGATGCAGGCTGTATCTGAAGCCAACCCACAGCTGGCACACATGTCTTTTCTTCCTTTTTCTCTGGAAATGTTGAAAAACACAAATACTGGATGTAGAAAATATCTGAATAAACCGAACTGTCTGACAACGTGACTATTTATGTTTATGATGCTCAATCATTACATTACTGACTGTCATTAGTGAGTCTACATCATAATTTCTGAATTTGTATGCAGTCTGACTAGTCAACAATCCAATAAAGTCCATATATACATCTTTAATATCAGTAAATAATATATTTGACAACAGATAAAATTGATTAAAAAAAAGGTTAAACATGATCATTGTAGCTGTTTAATGTCAGCATGCAGGTTTTACTATTAAAATAATTAATTTTGGTTAAATATGCGTAATATTTACCTGTGAAACATAAACCTTTTTATCTCTTGTAAAATGTAACAATTTCTGCAGTTTATAGCNTTAATATCAGTAAATAATATATTTGACAACAGATAAAATTGATTAAAAAAAAGGTTAAACATGATCATTGTAGCTGTTTAATGTCAGCATGCAGGTTTTACAATTAAAATAATTAATTTTGGTTAAATATGCGTAATATTTACCTGTGAAACATAAACCTTTTTATCTCTTGTAAACAATTTCTGTAGTTTATAGCAAAGTATTTGAACCATTTATACATTTATAAAGCGTTTGTTTGCACAGCGCTACGMTCTGCTCATTGATTTCAATGGTTAGCGTTAGCATTAGCTCAATGCATTAAAATCCCCCTGCGAAGCCACGCCCAGGTCATGTGATGCCCAATCCAGTAATATATATCAATGGCTACATTAAGGTTCATTGGTTCAGCTGTAACCGTGCAGGATGACTTGTGTTAAACTAGAGACAGAAATATCAAAATGATTGATATTTCCCTCTGTGGCATATTCTTTGTTTACCTCCATGGTGGTGCGATTGCACTGATGAGTATCAGCAAACCAGCTGTTGTCTGTTGCACACTGGTTCAAGTCAATGCCCTGAATGTTGACATCCACACGTATAACACCTCTGAAACGAGACAAACACATGTCAAGGATGTCAATATTATTTTATAGGTCCACATTTTGCCATGCTGTCGACTAGATTTTTTGTTAAACATTGGAGTTTAACTGTCACAATTACTTTTTCTTCACCACATCTGTCCCCAGAGGTTTAAAGACAAGGTCCCTGCACTCATTACTGAATCAGAAAGGGAGGTGGAATACAAATAATGCATTTTAATTTGAATGTTTCTGGCTTTTTTAGACCTCTAAAAATTTGTTGTCAGACTGACATCGATTCACTGACTGAAAAAAGAAAAAGATGACCTTGGACACATATTTCTTAAACTGTCCACTTAAAACTACAACCTGTTTGATGAAAGTCTTAAAGGGGCAACGTCATGCGTTTCTCAGGCATATAGTTCAATTCTATACCCAAATTAAGTTACTATGTGACCTTCAGTTGTTGTTAAAATGCTGTTTATGTTTAAATAAAAAATAAACTTTTCACATCACGGCTATTTCTAAACACCTTGAAATTGGTCTGTCTCTTTAAGAACCTCCTTCTGATCCATTACGTTAACTTTTTTAGCTCATAGCACTGATGTTACAGAGGTTGCTGATCTTGTAGCACAGAACAAAAAGTTGTAGCACCAGCATAAAATGTCTGTTATAATGTCTAAAACCAAAAGGGAGAATGGTGAATAATATGGTGAGTATTGTTGTAGGACAGTAGTCACCAACCTGTTTGAGACTGAGAGCTACTTCAGGAGAGTACACAAAGAGCTACTTGTTTGATAAAAAACAGATTTATACAGCTCAGATTCAATTATAAGAAATTTACATATGT